CTCTCTCTCTCTCTCTCTCTCTCTCTTTCCTCTCTCTCTTAGAATTTAAGCATTTGCCATTGTCCAGAAAAGAAACTTGCAGCTTTAACCTGCTGGGAATGGCGAGCAATTTTACTAGACTTTATGTTTAAGAATAAATAAATAAGGGAAATTCCTAACTTTGCCCTCCAAAGTCTAACTTTGGTTTTCTTGTTAACTGGTTAAGGTGACAGTATCTTTTTTCCGAAAGCCATTTTTCTGTCTGTTGTAATCAGAATAAGGTTTGGTAGAAATGTTGGGGTCTAATGGAAATGTGGTCAGTTGAAGGAAGAGGTAATACTAATTTGCTTTCTAGTGAGACCCAAAGGAAGGACTGAGTAATATCTTTTAAATACCTAAAAATAAATGAATTTTTTATGTATGAGTTGCAAAAATAACCCATGAGAACTTTTTTGTTTTGATATTAAGTCAGACCCAAAAAGCAAAAGGGAGAATAGTTCATTTAAGAAAGAAACTTTAAATCCTGATGGTTGTTGGTGAATTATTTTAAGATAATGGTGGAAGGGCATGCGAAGTTAAAATAAACATTTTTAAACACCCATTCAGTGGCAACCTCCCCAAAATAGATTTGAACAAATGCTTCTAGAAACTTCCAGGGTCTCCCGAGGAAAAGACCAGCTCAGACTTGCAAAGCCTATGCCTCCAAAAGTACTGAGAAGTAAATACCTTAGAGGCAGCGTGGGAGTTAACCCAGAGAAGCACTATTATTTTGGTGTATCTCGTCATGCCAGGTTGTGACAAGTTTGCAGCCCTTTCTCCATTCCTGCATCGCTATGGGTCTCACATGCATTTGTTGGGAGCCATATTTGCATCATGGATGGAACTGCCCAATCATCTTGGTTTAATTGCATTGAGAATGCCTTTCAGTTCCAGGAAAGTATTGATTACCAAGAAAGCAGGATAGGTTTTTGTCCCCGGGGGCATTCATTCAGTTCTTATAATCATACCAGGAGAGAAGCATTGAGTAAGACTTGATTTCATTTTTGTCCTAGCCAGGAAAAATGATACTGCAACTTTAAATTTTAAAGTATCTTGCACTGATAAATATATTTAAAAATTATATGTTTATAAAGTTATTAATTTGTAAAGGCAGTGTTACAAAATGTTCAGTTTATATTGTTTTAGATTGTTTCGTAATTTTTAAAGGTGTAAAATAACATATTTTTTTCTTTATTGAAATCTATAAACTTTGTGTAGTAAAATGTTTTCCTTTTACTGGTATATTATTGCTTCATGTTTTGTACCATCATAAAATTTTGTGCAAATTTTTTTTACAGAAATTTTTATTTTCTATGACAATATGACACTTGTAAATTGTTGTTTCAGAAAGAACAGCGAAGCCTTAACTTTAAATGACATTTGTATTCTCAGACTCTGAGTAGCATAAAAACCACATAGAACTGAACTGTAACTTAAATTCCAAACTATGACTACTACATTCCAAAGATACAGTTGATTAAACATTTTCATAAAATATTTCAAACCTGATGGCTTTTATTATAGTAGCTTTGTTCTTGTTAAAAAAAGTTGCTGTTATCTCACCATCCGGTAACCTTCAAGATTTTTTTTTTAATTCTGTTTTTAAAATATTCTCTTAAGGTGTGAATATTAAGAAGATATTTCCTGAACAGAATACGAAACCAGATCAGATAATGTTAACAGAGGGAATACAAAATTTGGCTTGATAAATGGAATTTTTTCAATTCCAAATCATGTGTCCATGTTCTATATAGTCCACTTGGTAAAGTTTGTTTCATGATATTCACAAATAACTGTTGGCAAGTTTTGTTCTTGTAGAAAATAAGTCAACTTCTTTGTACATGCACTCATACTAAATTTAGGTAAAAGGAAAGGTTGAGCAACCATCACGACTGGATATTTGCTAATTCTTGGGAAAACATCTATTCAACTTCAGACCAAAATAATAGAAAAATAATGATAACAAAGAATAAAGACAACAGAGACATTGATCCAAAGTCTTTCCACTCAGCTGCATCCTCAGCCCTTCTTATTTTTATTTTGAGACAGGGTCTTGCTAAGTTGCCCAGGCTGGCCTCAAACTCCCAATCCTCCTGCCTCAATCTCCCAAATAGCTGGGATTACAGGCATTCACCACCACGCCGGGATACCAACAATCTGTATCTACCCACTTACTGCAGTAAAACGGTCCCAAAAAGCACAGCCCATTTGGTGTGGATGGCTCTAGACCACTCTTCCAAAGGAATCAGCATTTCCCATACATGCTTCTTTTCTCTGAATGCTTTTAGTTTCTAACAAGAATAGAAGATTTTCCCTATTTAGATTTTGTGGTACCTCTGCTTAGAGAAAAGGCAGCAGGAGAGCCACATAATCACTTGACTGAAGTTAAACTCTACCAACATTCATGGATACTTCTAGGAAACATGACACCTTGCAAGTAGCCGATTAGCATTCATTCGGACATACTTTCTGAAAAATGCTAAGGACCACAGACTCATATTCTTGCCTTTTCACTCCTTTCCTATCCATACTTGGCTGCTAAGCTAAGCTTTGCCTTAGGCTTTAAAAACCAAGTCTTTGTATAATACTTCCCAATTCAAGAAATAAATGAGCATAAGGATTAAAACATTCAACCTAAAACATGAAAATTATATATGGCCCTATGTTCTGTCTTCCCTGATTGCTTTCTGCCACTTGAGCTGAATTGCACTGTCTCTTTACTTCCCAGTGGTAATTATAATGGTTTGTTTTGCATTAAAAAGCAGTTCCAAGAAGTGGCTGCATATGCAGTAAGTGGTCTTCAACAGAATTGCAACTTGGAGGTTGGGAGACACGAAGGAAGGGGTCCTCAAACCGAGTGAAGTTCAGCATCAGGAAGACTGACATCAGTGTGCTGCTTTTCCCAAATATTCCACAGAAACACTGCAGGATGATTAAGATGAAATATCATGTACATGTAACTTGTTAGCGAGACCCAATCTCAAAAGACAAAAAAAGAAAAAAAAACTGCTACATGAACCGATCCATTGAACTTGTTTTTATTTGGAGCACTGACTAGCTTCACAGCAGCTCTGTGATGTCAATTTTATAACTTTGTGTACTTCAACGTTATAGAGGAGGATTCCAAAGTTCAGAGATGTTGAGTGACGAGTCTAGGATGTAGTTCACCTCATGTTCCCTCCTTTGCTCCTGTCACCTCAGAGCCTGGCAATGCCTCGTAAGGGAACAGCACAGGACTTTGCTACTCAAAGTGCATCCCACCAGGCAGTGGCACCTGCAAGCCTGTTAAAGGTGTGGAATCTCAGGCAGGGTCGTACACCTGCTGAAACATTCTTTTCCTCTTGTTTCATTTTTATTTTTGAGGGGCACACAGAAACTGTACATATCTGTGAGCTACAATATGACATTTCAGCATAGTTATCCATCAGACAGTAATCAAGCCAGGGCATACAGGATCCCTGTGTGACCTGTGATCATGTTCAGGTGTTAGAGGCCCCCCTGCAACCATGGACAGGTGTGTGAGCATCTGTGCACTTCCTGGTGGTTTTGGAACATCCACTCAGAGATGAAGAAGCCCCTGCCATGTTCACAAAGCACTTTCCAGGAGAGTCTGAGCACAAAGGAGCCTGGGAAATAGAAAGAAAAATGAGTAAATGTAAAGTCTCACCCACCTAACCTGGAAGAAGTTTGTGGCTATTTCCCATGATGTCTTGCGGGAAGCCGGGAGATGGACTCTTCTGAGAGGAAGGAGACACTGCTGAGTGCTTTACTGGATTAAAAATTTTAGGTGCTACAGAAATACAGCAAACACTGTTACTCATCATGGTTTGGTCAGGAAGGAAGAGGAATACTGATTTGTGAAGAGACAAATACTTTTCCAAAGAAGTTGCATTGTGTATCGCACGTAGCTCACTTTTTGGTACAGACATTAAATTCTTGAATGGTGAAACCAGACTGAGTCCTATTTAATCTTTCCTTGATGATTTCTAATCTTGTTCCTAAGGCTCTGTCTTGCAAAGAAAGGAGAAAGTATCTAATAACGGAGCTTTGACGTTAAATAATGATTCCAAGAGAGGGCTTTTCTACCTAGGACAGTCTCCTCTCCACACCTCCATACGGTACTATCTATCACGATGCAGGAATTCAAGAAATGGATAATAGCCAGCACCAATGGCCTAATTCTGTCACTACTCTGGTAATGGGGTTGGAATATCTACTTTTGCTTGCCCTAGCAGGAGGCTGGACACACTCTCCTGTGATGGTCCAACCAGGCACAGCTGAAACAGATTCCTGTCCTTCATGGTGCTCTGTTCAGGGCCTCAAAAATCCCAGCCCATCATTTCCACATGAGCCATTTCTTCACCCTTTCTTTGGGGGCCCAGAACCATCTCCCAGGGATGTCATGTTGACAGGACTGCTGGTCTTGATGTAAGGAAACATCAGGAAATCATTCCACTGCCTCAGAGTTACCATCACTCTAATTCTGCCAACTTCTGAAAATGTTCAGTGTTGATTAAATTGCATCTTGACCTCTTGGATGTGACATATTTCGAGCAGACTCAGCCATTACCCTTAGATCTTTGGCAATTTTTTGGCTGTGATTCACATCCTCCAGGTAAAAAGAGCTTATTTCTAGAATCTGAAAATATAACTTTTCTCAGGTCAACTTTTAATTATATATATATATTAATTCACATAAATTTATATTACAGATTAAGCATCACTAATGAAAATATCCAAAATACTCTGAAATTCAA